TGTGTGTGTGTGTGTGTGTGTGTGTGTGTGAGTGTTGGACCCTACCTGTGATGGCGTTGTGTTGATGTGTGGTGTGTTGAGTTGTTACCTTGGGAAGGAGATCAAAGCAAAGACAACACAACTATCCCAGTGTTTCTTCATCTTTGAATGGTGTGAGACAAACTATGAAGCACATAGCCTTACTAAGCACACTTTTGAACTGTGTTTGTTCATGTGTCTACATGTTAGATTCTTCTGATCTACCGCTAGTCCCGTGGTGCAACAAGTTCTGCACGGCTCCGACGAGGGAGGAGCGATGACGGCGGTGCACCTTCGCCTCGCTTCAGTGTTTGTAGTCATCACTAGTTGGCCTATAAGCCTGGATTAATTTTTATTATTTTCAGTGTTTCTTGTATTTTTATTATTTCTAGTGTTGTTTGTACTGCCATGATATATGATGATTACATCGGAATTTTTCTTGCAAAAAACACTTTAGGACCCTATTTGTGGCTCTTTTAATCCTCGGACTTAAATTGTATTCTCATGTATTTGGACATTGATCAATAAAGAGAATCTGTTTATAGACTCAAAAAAATGGGTGATTAAATTGCTTAAAAGTTTTTTCACAGGAAAAAATCTCAAAAGATAACGCGCTCCAATCACACGGGTTGCTTTGACTGCCCGTGGACCAGGGCCCGCTCCAACCCGCCGCCGACGGCGGCGGTGGCCATCCCGGCCGCCGGCGCCCACCTTGCTTCCCCCAACCCCCATGAATCCCTGATACAAGCAAGCTCTGCGCCAGCGGATCATCAGGGTCGCGTCCGGCTTCTGGAGAAAGGCCGTACTAATCGCATCAGAGCTGGGTCCTGGGTGCTCGCCTCCATTCAGCCGAAGGTGAGCCCTGTTCTTCCTTCGATTTCAGCTGTCCGTCCGAGCCCCCGAGGCGAGGGAGAACCCGATCCGGGGCGATTCACGGGGAGCCCTCTGTGGCTGTGCTCTGCCCGCCCTTGGTCGCGGTCTCTTGCCGATTTCCAGGAAATATGGACTGAATCAGACTTACTGAATATTAACAACCCTATACCAGCACGCCGCTCCTGCAGTTCAGACATTGTTTCTCTGCAAGGCCAACATGGAGCAATGGCGTGCAACAACCTTTGCGTCTCTTGTCCATGGATCAATCCTTGCTCCACATGTTTGCTTGCTAGCTACAGTGTGTTGTCAAACGGACCTAACCTAAGCTAGGAACCGGATCCAGTTTTGTTCAGTAGCACCCATATTTTGTCAATCTCCACAAGGAAACTATCTAGCATGATCACTTGGGATTGCCTCCCACAGCTTTGCCTGCAGAAGAGTCAATACTCTCATATGTGGCCTTCACAACAGATTGTTTCAGTTCTCTTCTTTCATGGAAAAAATGTACTGTAATTATTTTCAGCTAATTGGGATGCTGCTTCGAGTGCATACTTGAAAAAGGAAATGCCTAAGAACATCAACTACAGATAGTGTACACCTAGACGATGGCGCTTGCGGGCGTCCTGTTTCCTTCTTGAAGGCGTCTCCGAAGGTCCCACTCAGTTCTCTTCGGGTGAGTAGGCAGTGGAGATTGAGTTGGCCGGCGCCTTTTTTATTTCCCTTTCTTTTTTTCTTTTTTGTGCTCATGGTCGGGGGTTTCGCTAGACTGTCCCTTAATCAATCAAGCATCTTTGTTGTTTTCGGCCTGCTCTTCCTTATAAACCGGGCCAATTCTATTCTTTTTTATGAAAATTGTAGGACCACCCTGTCCTCTTGACGAGGTTTCGTCATAAAAAAAGATAGTGTACACCTAGATTATCAAGCACATTACTGAGAAAAATTACACACCATTGAATAGTTATTAACAATGAGGGAACTTGTCCGCTACGCAGGTACACGAGTTGATTGCTTGTCCAGGCTTAACCTAAGCACAGGGGCTGACAAAACAGGAGACGCGGCGGGCCATGGCATCCTACTGCTGTTTTAGGATATCAAGGACACGTTTGCCAAGCTTTACTGTACCACGATATCGGTTGATAACGCTCCAAGACATGCTTTGCCTGATTCTTCGTCCAGAAGGTGAAGTGGTTGCCATCGAGGGCACTGGCGGCTTGGGAAAGACATGGGCGGCAAAAGCGGCATTTGAAACCGCAAGGAACTCTAATCGCTTTGATACATATATCTGGGTTTCATTGTCTACAAGCTGTAGTCTGAGACGGTGCACTGAGAAGATTGCCACATGTCTTTCGATTGACATTGGTGAAGAACTGTTATCATCGAGAATTAGGGTAATGATCAAGGAACGTCTCATGAGACGGAAGTTCTTGTTGGTTCTCGACAATGCTTATTTTGTCGAGGAAAACATCTTAGGGAAATTGGGGATTCCATGTCCTCGAGAGCAGAGTTTAGGTTCAAAGGTCATTGTGACCACAAGAACCGGGAGGACAGTGTCAGTCATGGATCCAGCTATACTTATATCGCCACAACCTCTCACAGATCAGGCCTCATATGACCTACTGCGCGAGAAGATCGGCAGAGATATTGATCTGCAGTTAATTGACAACTGCTTTGGCATGCCATTGTCGATCATCTTACTGGCTGGGGCACTGTGTGATATACCTACACAAGAGTCGAGCAAGTTAATAAGTGAAGCTTATGTGGCTCTAAGACCCAAGATATCAGTGTTCACCACAATGATTCGCCTTGTAAAGTTTTCTTACCATCGGCTTCCTAGTGATACTGCCAGGCGCTGCTTCCTGTACTGCCTACTCTTCCCTGACGATGAAGCAATCACTGTCAAGGACCTGATCATTTTATGGAAGCTGGATGGTATCATTCAAGAAGCTAGAGATTCTCATGAGGCTAACTGTTATGGGGAGGAAATTCTCCATGTGCTTTTAAAGCATGGTTTGATTCATTTTGAGGGTGACCATCATATCCGCATCCATGATGTCATCAGAGAGACGGTATCACAAGTTGGACGTGAGAATGGCTATGTGGAGCAGCCTGAAAAGTACTTTGACAATGACATTCCATTTGAGTATCTTCTTGCCAAGTTCGGTGGAAGGATTTCCTTGATGAACACAGTGAAGGAAGAACTCCGTGCAAGTCCAAGTCATGAGTTCTTCTCAACTTCAACCCTGCTTTTAAGAGGGAACCGCCATATGAGAACCATATCGGAAGAATTTTTCTGCCGTGTGGGAATGCTTAGAGTGCTAGATCTGTCCTTCACTCCAATCAGAATCCTTCCCCAGTCCATTTCTCGTCTGTTTCACCTCCGGTTGCTGCTACTGGCTGGATGTGGACACCTGGAGAGAATTCAGCACATAGGCTCGCTGGAGATGCTGGAGGCACTTAGTGCATCAGGTTGTGGCTCCCTAAAAAGGGTAGAATGCGGATCATTTGACCGTATGGGGTTGCTCAAGATCCTCGACCTTTCGAGAACTTCTATCGAATGCTTGCCATCCCTGGCTGCGTCTGTGGAGCTTAACCAGCTTCTGCTACAAGATTGCGCATTTCTCAAGTCTGAGCGAACTATGGAAACAGACCACAAGTCCTGTGATACAGAATTTATCAGGTTCCCTTATGGAGTTTCAAAGAAAGGTGCTGTCAGTAACCTACAGATAGGGACAAGTAAGGATCTGGTGAATTGGATGGCCATGCTTTGGTTACCTTGTGGACTGAATTTTGAATTTTCTGACAGATTTGGTATGAGGGTCTCTCAAGATGTAAACCAGGACAGAAAAACATACATTTATGCAAGCCATGCCAAGTTCGTTCAGTCTTTGCATAAAGACTCTCCACTGTGGTCAAACTGCCTTCGGAAGTTTCACATAGTTATCTCCCCTTTAAAGTACGATCAAACCATGGACAATAGCTTTGGAGTATGGAGAACAAAATTCTCTGCGCTGGACGTGCAGTCCGGTGATTTCGATAGGGTTTTGGAGATAAACTGTGCCGGAGTTGCTAATGATCTTGAAGGGGTTCTTGGAAACGCTGAGCTAATATCGTTGAAAAATATAACAGCGACAAATCTGGTATGGACCCTGAATACTAGAACACTGACAGCAGCAGCACGAGAACTTTGGGTAGAAGACTGTCACCAACTGGAGAACCTCTTCTCACCGGAAGAAGCGCCTACAGTGGGCAACTTGCAGAATATATGGATCTCCAACATGGACAATCTAGCATACTTCTGCCGAGTGACGGTGGAAGATTTGACCAGTTTCAGTTGTCTGATGCACTTGCTCCTCGATTGCTGTCCAAAACTGAACTTCCTCTTTCCTTCATCCCTGCGCCTGCCGAATCTTCGTAGCCTACAAATAAGGTTCTGTGACAGCTTGGAGAGAGTGTTCTACGAATCGGTTGCCGCGGAACATGCTCTTCCGGGGCTACAGTCACTCCAGCTGTGGGAGCTTCCAGAGCTTATCTGCATCTGCGGAGGGGTCCTGCCGTCTCTCAAGGACTTGAAGGTGAAGGGCTGTGGGAAACTTAAGGGAATCCCTATCGGTGTCACTGAAAATAACCCGTTCTTCGCAACAATAATAGGAGAAACGCAATGGTGGAACGATTTAGTCTGGGGTGATGAAAGTGTCAAGCGCTGGATATTGTTTAGGAACTGGGGCCCCTTGCTACCGCATTTTGCAACTGAAGGATGAACTTTCCAGGCTTTTTTTTCCGTGTTGGCGGTGATGCTTCGCAAGGTGCTCAGAGTTGCTTTTGAGGTGTTGGCTGTTGTCTGTCGAGTAAGTTAGTGACAGGAGGTGCAGTGGTTGTCTAAGCTTAGCATTTGGCGCCAGCGGCTCTCGATATCGCGACATGACATTGAAGAGTGCGATGCCCTTCGGCGGCGTTGTTGCGCTCCTCGACGTGCAATGTACTCAAGATCATCCCCAGGGTACTTTCTGGGCAAGCGGGGCGGTTTGTGCTCCCTGCTTTATCTTGGGAGAGATGGCTCAGAAATTTCAGAGCGGATCTTACTCTGGTTATCCATAGAGTACAAAACACTCGAATAACTTCAAAGGTTGGATACAACATAAGTAATTTGTAACACTTCCTGCACTCTCTGCACACCTGTAAATATTCTCTATGTACATGTTTTTTTAATTTGTAAAACTCTGCACTATGATCCTTTCCCTACTGTATTTTGGCAAGAGCATCAGTGGTAAAAAAGGTACCCTACATAGGATTGGGGGTTGTAAAATTTATATGGTATGCATTATTTTGACCTCCATCTTATAGGGAATCTAACAAGTGTTTGAATTTTGTTCCTTTGAGAACTTCAATGAACTTCTCTCTACTCACTGTCTTCTTTCCTCCGAAATTTATGAATTACTTTGCTGTGCATCATCCAAAGGAATTACTTGCGAAATTTATTGGAGGATTTGGCCAGCCCATGCAACTCAACATACCCTCCATTCCTCTTTATAGTGCATTTTTTGTGTGCGCTAAAGCTCCGAATTGTAGTGCACATTTGCAGTGCTAATAAAGGAACAAAGGGGGAGCAAAAGGAGTACTCCCTCCGTCCCGAAAAACATGTCGCAGTGACATTTTTGCGAAAACCCTCTCTGCGAATTCCCGACACAACCCGCAGTCCCTGGTCCTCTCCCTCGCAGCCTCACTCGTCTCCCCTGCGCGCCGGAGTCCTCCCTCTCGGCTCCCCCTGCGCGCCGGAGCCCTCCCTCTCGGCTCCCCCCGCGCTGGAGCTCCCCTGCTCGGCTCCCCTGCGCGTCGCCGGAGCTGCCTCGGCCCACACCTCCACCGCGTTGCTTCCCTCTCCTTGTTCCCTTGCTCGTTCCCCATGGTGAACCATGGGAAGGAGAAGGCTCGATTTTTGTTCTTGATCTGCTCTCCGACGGCGGCGGCCTTCCCCGAGCTTGGCGAGCTGGAGCTGTCCCTTCCCGTCGTCGATCTGCTCTCCGCGACGCCGCCTGCCTCCCCGGACCATCCCCTCTCGCTCAGCTGCGACTCCCTCCCTGGAGCAGCCGCTCCCGCCCAACCCAAAGCCGCCGGCCGGAGCTACGCCGCAGCACGCTCCCTCCCTCCTCTTCTTGGGGACCGGATTGTGGTCGAGGAGG